CAGCCAGGGTACTTCCCCACATACCATCCAGGGTACTTCCCCACACACCAGCCAGGGTACTTCCTCATATACCAGCCAGCGAGCGTCCCCATATACCAGCCAGGGTACTTCCCCACACACCAGCCAGGGTACTTCCCCACATACCAGCCAGGGTACTTCCCCACACACATGATTTGATTTGAGTGGGACTTGTGCATGAGTGAACAGAATTATCAAAGCTTATTGCTTGGTAAGCATTGAAAATTGGGTTGGGCAAACACGATTCTGTTAGTGGGATGGTTTGTGAAGGACCTGCCTAGTATGGGCCAACAGGCCTGCTGCAGTGTTCCTGCTTTCTTATGTGCAAACATTCATGGATGAACATCACCCTGACACAGCTGTTGCAGGCCGTGCTGGCAACATCTACAATGACAATGTTGTGTCCCATTTTAGGGAAATTTTAAAGAGATGCCAGAAACAGAGCTCTCTGGACAGATATTTAGTGCCACAGGTATGCAGTGACTCTCAAGCTGGTCCTAGTGGCATTAAAAAACAAAGAAGGGAAGTAACCCTGGAAAAGGACTTGGTACCTGAAGTTTTTATGGAAGGGGATTCCCCTTCCAAACTACAATACACCTCCATCCTCTCAACTCCTCCCGTCTCATCTCTCACCAATAAGTCTTCAATAAAGGTAAGTGTCATTTTAGTATTGCTTATTCTGCATGTCTGATTGTTTTCTGTGTAGGGAAATGTATATTTCATGTAAAAAATTATTTTGTTTAATATTTTTGGGTGTCTGGAGCGGATTAATTGGATTCCCATTATTTCTTTTCGGGAAAATTAATTCGGATTAAGTCAGATTCGGTATAAGACACGCTCTCTGGAACGGATTAATTACGTCAACTGGGGGTCCTATATCAAATCAATTTTCCTCACTGAAATTATAATTGGAATGCCATTAATCCATTCCAGCCTCCCAAAAACCACCCCAGGGGCAGAATAAAATTCTTCAATATAATGCTAATATCAACTCTACAGCTTATTTATCTATTAGAAATGATCTAATATGACATAATAAACACTATAAGTAAAACAGAGAAATGATATATACTCTAGAATGAATAAAATAGGCCATAATATGGCGAGTGTCCAGGACCAGTCCAAGCAGAACTAAAAGCCATAAATGAAATCGAAAGAAACCCAAAGTATTTCTTCTCCTATGCCAAATCAAAATCGAGAACAACGTCCAGTATTGGGCCCCTACTTAAACAAGACGGATCCTACACAGATGACAGCAAGGAAATGAGTGAGCTACTCAAGTCCCAATATGACTCAGCTTTTAGCAAGCCGCTAACCAGACTGAGAGTCGAAGATCAAAATGAATTGTTATGAGAGAGCCACAAAATTTGATTAACACAAGCCTATCCGATGTTATCCTGACGCCAAATGACTTCGAACAGGCGATAAATGACATGCCTGATGACATGGCTCATGGAACTCTGTGTTCATCAAGAACTGCAAGAAGCCCCTATCACGAGCCTTTTCCATCCTATGGAGAGGGAGCACGGACACGGGGGTCGTCCCACAGTTACTAAAAACAACAGACATAGCCCCACTCCACAAAGGGGCCAGTAAAGCAACAGCAAAGAACTACAGACCGATAGCACTAACATCCCATATCATAAAAATCTTTGAAAGGGTCCTAAGAAGCAAGATCACCACCCATCTAGAAACCCATCAGTTACACAACCCAGGGCAACATGGGTTTAGAACAGATCGCTCCTGCTGTCTCAACCCATTGGATCACTACGACAAGTCCTAATATGCACTAGAAGACAAAAAGAATGCAGATGTAATATAACAACTTTGCAAAAGCCTTCAACAAGTGTGACCATGGCATAATAGCGCACAAAATGCGTGCTAAAGGAATAACAGGAAAAGTCGGTACGATGGTCTATAATTTCCTCACTAACAGAACACAGAGAGTAGTCGTCAACAGAGTAAAAGTCCGAGCAGCTACGTGAAAAGCTCTGTTTCCACAAGCACAGTAAATCGCTCCCATCTTGTTCCTCATCCTCATATCCGACATAGACAAGGATGTCAGCCACAGCACCGTGTCTTCCTTTGCAGATGACACCCGAATCTGCATGACAGTGTCTTCCATTGCAGACACTGCAAGGCTCCAGGCGGACATCAACCAAATCTTTCAGTGGGCTGCAGAAAACAATATGAAGTTCAACGATGAGAAATTTCAATTACTCAGATATGGTAAACATGAGGAAATTAAATCTTCATAAGAACATAAGAACATAAGACAGGAGGAACACTGCAGCAGGCCTGTTGGCCCATACTAGGCAGGTCCTTTACAATTCATCCCACTAACAAACATTTGACCAACCCAATTTTCAATGCCACCCAAGAAACAAGCTCCGATGTGCAAGTCCCTCTCAAATCCAACCCCTCCCACTCATGTACTTATCCAACCTAAATTTGAAACTACCCAAAGTCCTAGCCTCAATAACCCAACTAGGTAGACTGTTCCACTCATCAACTACCCTATTTCCAAACCAATACTTTCCTATGTCCTTTCTAAATCTAAACTTATCTAATTTAAATCCATTACTGCGGGTTCTCTCTTGGAGAGATATCCTCAAGACCTTGTTAATATCCCCTTTATTAATACCTATCTTCCACTTATACACTTCGATCAGGTCTCCCCTCATTCTTCGTCTAACAAGTGAAGTCAGGTGAGGTGAAGCAGGAGGAGGCGGGGTCACAGTCAAAGTAGGTCTTCGTTCAAAGGTTGGACAAATTTGGAACAATTCTTTGTATTAAGATCCCAGGATGCTGCATTGTCTGACAGATGTGATAAATGATTTAAAAAAAAGACAAGTTTAAGATTTAGACGCTGATACAAGATACTGGAATATTCCCGTAAGGTATGTGATACCGACAAGATGTGGAAAAAGACACTTATGTACAGTTCAGGACATTTATTAAAGGAAACGTCTCGCCACGAGTGGCTTCTTCAGTCTTAATGAATAAAACTGCTGTATCTAAAACTGTGAAGTGCCCCTAATTAATAAAATACAGTGTGAGCTGTCCTCGCTTACTATGATCTTTGGTGAGGGGACTCCAATTACTGAAATTGGATGTGAAATGTCCCTTCTCAGTTTGTTCTACTGCGAACTGACCCTAGTCACTGTCATCTTGTGTGAGCTACATATCGTTCCAATATCAGTGGCAATTGATGTAAATACTGAAGAATGAAACGCTATTGGAACCTTCAAAGTACATGAATGGTTATAATAATTCATCAGGAATTAAACATGAGGAAATTAAATCTTCATCAGAGTACAAAACAAATTCTGGCCACAAAATAGAGCGAAACACCAACGTCAAAGACCTGGGAGTGATCATGTCGGAGGATCTCACCTTCAAGGACCATAACATTGTATCAATCGCATCTGCTAGAAAAATGACAGGATGGATAATGAGAACCTTCAAAACTAGGGAGGCCAAGCCCATGATGACACTCTTCAGGTCACTTGTTCTATCTAGGCCGGAGTATTGCTGCACACTAACAGCACCTTTCAAGGCAGGTGAAATTGCCGACCTAGAAAATGTACAGAGAACTTTTACGGCGCGCATAACGGAGATAAAACACCTCAATTACTGGGAGCGCTTGAGGTTCCTAAGCCTGTATTCCCTGGAATGCAGGAGGGAGAGATACATGATTATATACACCTGGAAAATCCTAGAGGGACTAGTACCGAACTTGCACACGAAAATCACTCACTCCGAAAGCAAAAGACTTGGCAGACGATGCACCATCCCCCCAATGAAAAGCAGGGGTGTCACTAGCACATTAAGAGACCATACAATAAGTGTCAGGGGCCCGAGACTGTTCAACTGCCTCCCAGCACACATAAGGGGGATTACCAACAGACCCCTGGCAGTCTTCAAGCTGGCACTGGACAAGCACCTAAAGTCAGTTCCTGATCAGCCGGGCTGTGGCTCGTACGTTGGTTTGCGTGCAGCCAGCAGCAACAGCCTGGTTGATCAGGCTCTGATCCACCAGGAGGCCTGGTCACAGACCGGGCCGCGGGGGCGTTGACCCCCGGAACTCTCTCCAGGTAAACTCCAGGTAAACTCCTTCCTATAAAGAATTCTTTGGTCTTGGGTAAGAGAAAATGGAGTTTTTGAGAGGCTAACTAACTAAATCACTAGTGCAGTGATATATGAATATCTCGGAAGTGAGTTATTGACTTATTTCATGAAACCCACCATTTATTAGTGAAGTAAATGCAATAATATTGACAGGAATCATAAAAAAGATTTTTCTACAATTGGCTTGTGGAATATTGGAAATATTTCAAATATTTTGGGATTTATGTGGGAATAAGGGCAAGATATTTTGCAAATGTCAAAAACTTAGCAATTTAATTTTTTTGTAGAATAACTAAAGATAATTTAATTTTTTGTAGAATAACTATAGATAATTACACGATTGCTTCCAGTGAGAACATCACACTAGCATTGTTTTATAAGTACCAAGTCCCAAAGCCACCCTATGTTGTGCCATTGAGGCTGGGGTTCTTGCTAAATGACATTTTTCAGTAAATATTTTTTTTTTCAGTAAATATGTTTTTCCGCTCATAACTTGGATTTTGGCTTGCAACTCAGAGCAAAATATCAACTGAGTGACACTCGTATCTCAGAAAACTCGTAAGTTGGGGTACTCGTAAGTCAAAGTGCCACTGTACTCCGTGGCCTGGTGGCTAAAGCTCTTATTTCACATGGCGAGTGTCTGTGTCTATGTTCACCCATCAGTAAAATGGGTACCTTGGAGTTAGTGGATTGGTGTGGGTCACATCCTGAGACAAAACTGACCTAATTTACCCGAAATGTTCTGCATAATAAGAGGCTTACTATATAGCAGTATGTCACTGATGTCAACTAGGACTGTATACCTTGTACATGTACTTGCAGAAATAAAGATATCATTATCATATCATCACTCACTTTTTAGCTTGCTGAGTGTGATCTCTTTATGGCAGGTGAGTGGGATAATAACACTGTTTGGCAGGAGACAGTCGAGGATAATGCACGGTGACATCTGCAGCCAGCCTCGTACCTCAATACTTAAGGGAGCCATAGCTGCTCCAGTGTATACCTTCCGAGTGCTTCATGGTGGACACATCTTAACATCTTCTAGGGCATAACTAAAAATATAAAAAATAGAGTAAATCAGCAAAACAGACTTTGTCAAAAAATACTTCTGAAATTAGTCAAACAAAATTATAAAATGACATAAAACCATAAGTTACCTATAGTCAATTTGAAGACAAACTGCAACACAAGAGCACAGCTTTGCTCACATAGCCAGAAAAAGATAATGCAAGTGCCTTAGAAATGAGATGTAATGAGGTTTGATTCCCATGATACTACTACCTCCTCTCATTCTTCCATTCCCACCCCTCCTTCGTGTATATACACTGCCTCCCTCCCCTTCGTGCTTCAGTGCCACTACTCAATGGTCCAAATAGGAATGAAACATCGTCATAAGTTTCTTTCTCCTGTGTGTGGGTTATTTGTGTGTTGTTCCAGTCATGGTATTGTGATGTTTTATTCTGTATGAAGTTTGATTCTAGGAAATGTAAGGTAGATTTAATTCCTTGGATCAAGAGCCCTTCACCAGCATCAAGGTAACTTTCCCCTGAAGAGTGTCTTGATGTGGTGAATTAGTGGGTTATTTTGTAGAACTTTGAGCAAAACATTAAATTATCATATAAAATCAGGGTATTGATATATAATAATAAAACTGAATAACCTGGAAATAGCAGACAAAATTCGCTGAACAAACTAAACTATTAACTTTTATTTTCTACTGCAATATTATATCAGTAAATATACACTTCTATTATTGTAACCACAAACAACTGGTATTTAATCAATAACAACTCTGTGACTAACCAAGGACTCGAACCCATGATGTTTTGGCCTGCCTCATGGTGAGTGAAAATCACATGATGCTCTAACCCACAGGACCACCAAATCCTACAAGAATCAAGCACCCAACAGAGCTAGGTGTTCACCGTATGTCCTTGGATCAAGGTAAAACACCTAGCTCTGCAGAGTGCTTCATTCTTGTAGGATTTGGTGGTCCTGTGGGTTAGAGTGTCATGCGATTTTTACTGACCATGAGGAGGGCCAAAACGATATGGGCTCGAGTCCTTGGCTAGTTGCTGTGTTGTTATTGATACAGTACTATATGAAGGACAAAGCAGAGTACTTCAGTACTACAACTGATTCAATGGACACTCAAATTTAATATAAATTTGGACAATCCCATCTAATTAATCCAATATATTGGAGGGTTGTTGTATCTAGGTTCATAAATTAAATAAAATACAGTTCATTTTGATTTTATTTGACCAATGAAAATGCAATACAATAATTTATGGTGAAGGTTGGTGCGAGCCCGACTGTGGGTGGTGGGAGCCTGACTGTGGGTGGTGGAAGCCTGACTGTGGGCACTGGGAACCTGACTGAGGGTGGTGGGAGCCTGACTGTGGGTGGTGGGAGCCTGACTGTGGGTGGTGGGAGCCTGACTGTGGGTGAGGGGAGCCTTGCTGTGGTTGGTGGGAGCCTGACTGTGGGTGGTGGGAGCATGACTGTGGGTGGTGGGAGCCTGACTGTGGATGATGGGAGCATAACTGTGGGTGATTGGAGCATGACTGTGGGTGATTGGAGCATGACTGTGGGTGGTGGGAGCCTGACTGTGTGTGGTGGGAGCCTGACTGTGTGTGGTGGGAGCCTGACTGTGGGTGGTGGGAAACCAACTATGGGTAGTGGGAGCCTGACTGTGGGTGTATGAGCCTCACTGTGGGTAGTGGAAGCCTGACTGTAGGTGGTGAGTGAATGACTGTGGGTGGTAAAAGCCTGACTGTGGGTGGTGGGAGCTCAACTGTGGGTAGTGGGAGCCTGACTGTGGGTGGTGGGAGCCTGACTGTGGGTGGAGGGACCCTGACTGTGGGTGGTGGGAACCTGACTGTGGGTGGGAGCCTGACTGTGGGTGGTGAGAGCCTGATTGTGGGTGGTAAGAGCCTGACCATGGGTGGTGGGAGCCTGACTGTGGGTGGTGGGAGTCAAACTGTGGGTGGTGGGAGCCTGACTGTGGGTGGTGGCAGCCTGAATGTGGGTGGTGGGAGCCTGACTGTGGGTAGTGGGAGCCTGACTGTGGGTGGTGAGAGCCTGATTGTGGGTGGTGGGAGCCTGACTGTGGGTGGTGGCAGCCTGACTGTGGGTGGTGAGAGCCTGACTGAGGGTGTTGGGAGCCTGACTGTGGGTGGTGGAGCCTGACTGTGGGTGGTGGGAGCCTGACTGTGGTTGGTGGGGGTCTGACTGTGGGTGGTGGAGCCTGACTGTGGGTGGTGGGAGCCTAACTGTGGGTGGTGAGAGCCTGACTGTGGGTGGTGGGAGCCTGAATGTGGGTGGTGGAGCCTGACTGTTTGTGCTGGAGCCTGACTGTGGGTGGTAGGAGACTGACTGTGTGTGTGGTGGGAGCCTGACTGTGGGTGGTGGAGCCTGACTGTGGGTGGTGAGAGCCTGACTGTGGGTGGTGAGAGCCTGACTGTGGGTGGTGAAAGCCTGACTGTGGGTGGTGGAGCCTGACTGTGGGTGGTGGGAGCCTGACTGTGGGTGGTAGCAGCCTGACTGTGGGTGGTGGGAGCCGGACTGTGGGTGGTGGAGCCTGAGTGTGGGTGGTAGGAGCCTGACTGTGTGTGGTGGGAGCCTGACTGTGGGTGGTGGAGCCTGACTGTGTGTGGTGGGAGCCTGACTGTGGGTGGCGAGAGCCTGACTGTGGGTGGCAAGAGCCTGACTGTGGGTGGTGAGAGTCTGACTGTGGGTGGTGGGAGCCTGACTGTGGGTGGTGGGAGCCTGACTGTGGGTGGTGGGAGCCTGACTGTGGGTGGTGGGAGTCTGACTGTGTGGTGGGAGCCTGACTGTGGGTGGTGGGAGCCTGACTGTGGGTGGTGGGAGCCTGACTGTGGGTGGTGGGAGCCTGACTGTGGGAGGTGGGAGCCTGACTGTGGGTGGTGGGAGCCTGACTGTGGGTGGTGGGAGCCTGACTGTGGGTGGTGGGAGCCTGACTGTGGGTGGTAGGAGCCTGACTGTGTGTGGTGGGAGCCTGACTGTGGGTGTTGAAAGCCTGACTGTGGGTGGTGAGAACCTGACTGTGGGTACTGAGAGCCTGACTGTGGGTGGTGAGAGCCTGACTGTGGGTGGTGGGAGCCTGACTGTGGGTGGCAGGAGCCTGACTGTGGGTGGTGGGAGCCTGACTGTGGGTGGTGGGAGCCTGACTGTGGGTGGTAGCAGCCTGACTGTGGGTGGTGGGAGCCTGACTGTGGGTGGTGGGAGCCTGACTGTGGGTGGAGGGAGCCTGACTGTGGGTGGTGGGAGCCTGACTGTGGGTGGTGGGAGCCTGACTGTGGGTGGTTGGAGCCTGACTGTGGGTGGTGGCAGCCTGACTGTGGGTGGTGGGAGCCTGACTGTGGGTAGTGGCAGCCTGACTGTGGGTGGTGGGAGCCTGACTGTGGGTGGTGGGAGCCTGACTGTGGGTGGTGGCAGCCTGACTGTAGGTAGTGAGAGCCTGACTGTGGGTGGTGGGAGCCTGACTGTGGGTGGTGGGAGCCTGACTGTGGGTGGTGGGAGCCTGACTGTGGATGGTGGGAGCCTGACTGTGGGTGGTGGGAGCCTGACTGTGAGTGGTGGGAGCCTGACTGTGGGTGGTAGGAGCCTGACTGTGGGTGGTGGGAGCCTGACTGTGGGTAGTGGGAGCCTGACTGTGGGTAGTGGGAGCCTGACTGTGGGTAGTGGGAGCCTGCCTGTGGGTAGTGGGAGCCTGACTGTGGGTAGTGGGAGCCAGACTGTGGGTGGTGGGAGCCTGACTGTGGGTAGTGGGAGCCTGACTGTGGGTAGTGGGAGCCTGACTTTGGGTAGTGGGAGCCTGACTGTGGGTAGTGGGAGCCTGACTGTGGGTAGTGGGAGCCTGACTGTGGGTGGTGGGAGCCTGACTGTGGGTAGTGGGAGCCTCACTGTGGGTAGTGGCAGCCTCACTGTGGGTGGTGGGAGCCTGACTGTGGGTGGTGGGAGCCTGACTGTGGGTGGTGGGAGCCTGACTGTGGGTGGTGGGAGCCTGACTGTGGGTAGTGGGAGCCTGACTGTGGGTGGTGGGAGCCTGACTGTGGGTGGTGGGAGCCTGACTGTGGGTGGTGGGAGCCTGACTGTGGGTAGTGGGAGCCTGACTGTGGGTGGTGGGAGCCTGACTGTGGGTGGTGGGAGCCTGACTGTGGGTGGTGGGAGCCTGACTGTGGGTGGAGGGAGCCTGACTGTGGGTGGTGGGAGCCTGACTGTGGGTGGTGGGAGCCTGACTGTGGTAGTGGGAGCCTGACTGTGGGTGGTGGGAGCCTGACTGTGGGTGGTGGGAGCCTGACTGTGGGTAGTGGGAGCCTGACTGTGGGTAGTGGGAGCCTGACTGTGGGTGGTGGGAGCCTGACTGTGGGTGGTGGGAGCCTGACTGTGGATAGTGGAAGCCTGACTGTGGGTAGTGGGAGCTTGACTGTGGGTGGTGGGAGCCTGACTGTGGGTGGTGGGAGCCTGACTGTGGGTAGTGGGAGCCTGACTGTGGGTAGTGGGAGCCTGACTGTGGGTAGTGGGAGCCTGACTGTGGGTGGGGGAGCCTGACTGTGGGTGGTGGGAGCCTGACTGTGGGTGGTGGGAGCCTGACTGTGGGTGGTGGGAGCCTGACTGTGGGTGGTGGGAGCCTGACTGTGGGTAGTGGGAGTCTGACTGTGGGTGGTGGGAACCTGACTGTGGGTGGTGGGAGCCTGACTGTGGGTGGTGGGAGCTTGACTGTGGGTGGTGGGAGCCTGACTGTGGGTAGTGGGAGCCTGACTGTGGGTGGTGGGAGCCTGACTGTGGGTGGTGGGAGCCTGACTGTGGGTGGTGGGAGCCTGACTGTGGGTGGTGGGAGCCTGACTGTGGGTGGTGGGAGCCTGACTGTGGGTAGTGGGAGCCTGACTGTGGGTGGTGGGAGCCTGACTGTGGGTGGTGGGAGCCTGACTGTGGGTAGTGGGAGCCTGACTGTGGGTGGTGGGAGCCTGACTGTGGGTGGGGGAGCCTGACTGTGGGTAGTGGGAGCCTGACTGTGGGTAGTGGGAGCCTGACTGTGGGTGGTGGGAGCCTGACTGTGGGTAGTGGGAGCCTGACTGTGGGTAGTGGGAGCCTGACTGTGGGTAGTGGGAGCCTGACTGTGGGTGGTGGGAGCCTGACTGTGGGTGGTGGGAGCCTGACTGTGGGTAGTGGGAGCCTGACTGTGGGTAGTGGGAGCCTGACTGTGGGTATTGGGAGCCTGACTGTGGGCAGTGGGAGCCTGACTGTGGGTGGTGGGAGCCTGACTGTGGGTGGTGGGAGCCTGACTGTGGGTAGTGGGAGCCTGACTGTGGGTAGTGGGAGCCTGACTGTGGGTGGTGGGAGCCTGACTGTGGGTAGTGGGAGCCTGACTGTGGGTAGTGGGAGCCTGACTGTGGGTGGTGGGAGCCTGACTGTGGGTAGTGGGAGCCTGACTGTGGGTAGTGGGAGCCTGACTGTGGGTAGTGGGAGCCTGACTGTGGGTGGTAGAAACATCAATAGAATTATTCTACCTAAAATTATCTTCCAGGCACGAGTCGTCGGATTTGTACCAACAAATAAAGTTTTTTTCACTTTTAGGCCATGTTAAATGCTCTTAGAGGCTCCAGGAGCAGCTGGTGATGCTCCTCCTACTTGGTAGGCCTAGTTGGACGTAAAGGTCTTCAATAAACACTAAAAAATGTAAAATTTGCTAGGAGAATGTTTTCAAACCAGCCGTTGTTTGGCGTCAAGTAAACATCAACACAGCTGGTCATCACAACCCTCAATTGACTTTCTTCTAAATTATTTTCTGGTCAGAAATTGGTTATCTTTTAGACTATATTTGCCATTAAAACATATTCGCTTCTTTTCTCTTTTCCAATTTTGAGTTGTTTCCGTATATGTAAGAATTAAGTTTTCTCTTGACTCAGCCTCGAGGTACAGCCAGCGCGGGAGTTTTAAATATCTAATATGTTTTTTACGTGCATATAAGTGCCAAGCAACGACGAAGGGAGTTGAATGATAGCTCTAGGCCTTTCGTGTTGCAATCAACACATTTTCAGGAGCTTGCAGGGTTACGGAAAATGAAGGAATTCCAAGAAAATAAGTTGAGAGGAAGTCATACAACTCCTTTTAATGGGTAATTAAACTTGATCCAAGGAAGAGGAGACGTGGTGTAATATTTTGCACCGCTCGATCGCTAGCACACTCAGCTCACACACTCAGGTCAGAGGTTCGAATCTCCTCCGGTACGGCTGGGAAACATTAGGGACGTGTTTCCATAAGACACCTGCTGTCCCTGTCACTGTTAACCCATCAGTTTAAAATGGATACCTGGGTGTTAGTGGACTGGTGTGGGTCGCATCCTGGGTGTTAGTGGACTGGTGTGGGTCGCATCCTGGGTGTTAATGGACTGGTGTGGGTCGCATCCTGGGACAAAACTGGCCTAATTTGCGGGAAATGCTCAGCATAACAAGAGGTTTTCTATATAGTAGTATGTCACTGATGTCAGCTATGGTCTGTATACCTTGTACATGTACTGGTAGTAAATAATGATATTATTAATATATTACTGGTGACTTAGTGAGAAAGTTCCAGTAAATAATTTGATGCGCAGGTTCACACTACTAACAACACACCCACACCCACACACCCACACCCACACACATACACCCACACACATACACCCACACCCACACACCCACACACATACACCCACACCCACACACCCACACACATACACCCACACACACACACCCAAACACACATATACCCACACACACACACACACACACACACACACACACACACACACACACACACACACACACACACACACACACACACACACATACTCATATACAACAGGCCTAGTGTCTAATCGACATGTGCCTAGGACAAAATGGTAACTAACTAACCCACACACACACACACACACACACACACACACGAGTACGACGAGAGCAATAGAGCGATGGTTGACACACTGGCTAGAGTGGCCAGAAGAGCTCATACATGCAGGGCAAAGCTCCTGATCATGGGTGGCTTTAACCACAAGGAGATCGATTGGGAGAACTTGGACCCGCATGGGGACCAAGATACATGGAGGTTGTACTGGAAAACTTCATGTACCAACACGTAATGGATACTACAAGAGAGAGAGGAGAGGATGAACCAGCAAGGCTGGACCTAGTATTCACCTTGAGTAGTGCAGATATCGAGGACATCACATATGAAAGACCCCTTGCGGCCAGTGACCATGTGGTTTTAAGCTTCGAATACACGGTAGAGCTACAAGTGGAGGGAGAAGCAGGAAGGCCAGGACGAATGAAGCCAAACTACAAGAAAGGGGACTACACAGGAATGAGGAACTTCCTGAACGGGGTTCAGTGGGACAGAGAACTGGCAGGGAAGCCAGTTAATGAGATGATGGAATATGTAGCAACAAAATGCAAGGAGGCTGAGGAGAGGTTTGTACCCAAGGGTAACAGGGATAATGAAAAAGCCAGGATGAGCCCATGGTTTACCCAAAGGTGCAGGGAGGCAAAAACCAAGTGTGCTAGGGAATGGAAGAAATATAGAAGGCAAAGGACCCAGGAGAATAAGGAGAGCAGTCGTAGAGCCAGAAACGAATATGCACAGATAAGAAGGGAGGCCCAAAGACAATATGAAAACGACATAGCAGCGAAAGCCAAATCTGACCCGAAACTGTTGTACAACCACATCAGGAGGAAAACAACAGTCAAGGACCAGGTAATCAGGCTAAGGAAGGAAGGAGGAGAGACAACAAGAAATGACCGTGAAGTATGTGAGGAACTCAACAAGAGATTCAAAGAAGTGTTCACAGAGGAGACAGAAGGGGCTCCAGAAAGACAGAGAGGTGGGGCACACCACCATGTGCTGGACACAGTGCACACAACCGAGGAAGAAGTGAAGAGGCTTCTGAGTGAGCTAGATACCTCAAAGGCAATGGGGCCAGATAACATCTCCCCATGGGTATTGAGAGAGGGAGCAGAGGCGCTATGTGTACCCCTAACAACAATATTCAATACATCTATCGAAACAGGGAGATTGCCTGAGGCATGGAAGACAGCAAATGTAGTCCCAATCTTTAAAAAATGAGACAGACATGAAGCATTAAACTACAGACCAGTGTCACTGACATGTATAGCATGCAAAATCATGGAGAAGATTATCAGGAGAAGAGTGGTGGAACACCTAGAAAGGAATGATCTCATCAACAGCAGCCAACATGGTTTCAGGGATGGGAAATCCTGTGTCACAAACCTACTGGAGTTCTATGACATGGTGACAGCAGTAAGACAAGAGAGAGAGGGGTGGGTGGATTGCATATTCTTGGATGCAAGAAGGCGTTTGACACAGTTCCACACAAGAGATTGGTGCAAAAACTGGAGGACCAAGCAGGGATAACAGGGAAGGCACTACAATGGATCAGGGAATACTTGTCAGGAAGACAGCAGCGAGTCATGGTACGTGGCGAGGTGTCAGAGTGGGCACCTGTGACCAGCGGGGTCCCACAGGGGTCAGTCCTAGGACCAGTGCTGTTTCTGGTATTTGTGAACGACATGACGGAAGGAATAGACTCTGAGGTGTCCCTGTTTGCAGATGACGTGAAGTTGATAAGAAGAATTCACTCGATCGAAGACCAGGCAGAACTACAAAGGGATCTGGACAGGCTGCAGACCTGGTCCAGCAATTGGCTCCTGGAGTTCAATCCCACCAAGTGCAAAGTCATGAAGATTGGGGAAGGGCAAAGAAGACTGCAGACGGAGTACAGTCTAGGGGGCCAGAGACTACAAACCTCACTCAAGGAAAAAGATCTCGGGGTGAGTATAACACCAGGCACATCTCCTGAAGTGCACATCAACCAAATAACTGCTGCAGCATATGGGCGCCTAGCAAACCTCAGAACAGCATTCTGACATCTTAATAAGGAATCGTTCAGGACCCTGTACACCGTGTACGTTAGGCCCATATTGGAGTATGCGGCACCAGTTTGGAACCGACACCTAGCCAAGCACGTAAAGAAACTAGAGAAAGTGCAAAGGTTTGCAACAAGACTAGTCCCAGAGCTAAGAGGTATGTCCTACGAGGAGAGGTTAAGGGAAATCAACCTGACGACACTGGAGGACAGGAGAGATAGGGGGAACATGATAACGACATACAAAATACTGAGAGGAATTGACAAGGTGGACAAAGACAGGATGTTCCAGAGATTGGACACAGTAACAAGGGGACACAGTTGGAAGTTGAAGCCACAGATGAATCACAGGGATGTTAGGAAGTATTTCTTCAGCCACAGAGTAGTCAGTAAGTGGAATAGTTTGGGAAGCGATGTAGTGGAGGCAGGATCCATACATAGCTTTAGGCAGAGGTACGATAAAGCTCATGGTTCAGGGAGAGTGACCTAGTAGCGACCAGTGAAGAGGCGGGGCCAGGAGCTTGGACTCGACCCCTGCAACCTCAACTAGGTGAGTAACTAGGTGAGTACACACACACACACACACACACACACACACACTACCAGAGTGAGAGGGGAGGATGAACCAGTAAGATTTGACCTTGTGTTCACCCTGGGCAGTTCAGACATTGAGGACATCACGTATGAGAGTCCCCTAGGAGCTAGCGACCACGTGGTTCTGTGCTTTGAATATATAGTAGAGGTGCAAGTGGAGAGAGTAACAGGAGTTGAATGGGAAAAGCCTGACTATAAAAGAGGGGACTACATAGGGTTGAGGAACTTCCTGCAGGAGGTTCCGTGGGACAGAGAACTGGCAGGAAAGCCAGTAAACGAAATGATGGAATATGTAACAACAAAATGCAGGGAGGCAGTGGAAAGGTTTATTCCCAAGGGCAACAGAAACAATGGGATGACCAGAATGAGCCCCTGGTTTACCCGACGGTGTAAGGAAACAAAAACAAAGTGCAATAGAGAATGGAAAAAGTACAGAAGGCAGAGAACACACGAAAATAGGGAGATCAGTCGCAGAGCCAAGAACGAGTATGCACAGGTAAGGAGGGAGGCCCAGCGACAGTATGAAAATGACGTAGCATCGAAAATCAAGACTGACCCGAAACTGTTGTATAGCCACATCAGGAAGAAGACAACAGTCAAAGACCAGGTGATCAGACTGAGGACAGAAGGTGGAGAACTCACAAGAAATGATCAGGAGGTATGTGAGGAGCTGAACAGGATATTTAAGGAAGTTTTCATAGTAGAGACAGGAAGGGCTGTGGGAAAACAGCACAGAAGAGAACATCAAGAGGGAATATACCAACAAGTGTTGGAGGACATACGAACAACTGAGGAGGAGGTGCAGAAGCTGCTAAGTGACCTTGATACCTGAAAGGCGATGGGACCGGACAACATCTCCCCATGGGTCCTAAGAGAAGGAGCAGAGATGCTGTGTGTGTCCCTAACCACAATCTTCAACACATCCCTTGAAACTGGGCAACTACCTGAAAAATGGAAGACAGCAAATGTAGTCCCCATATTTAAGAAAGGAAACAGAAATGAGGCACTAAACTACAGACTTGTGTCTCTCACATGTATTGTGTGCAAAGTCATGGAGAAGATTATCAGGAGGAGAGTGGTGGAACACCTGGAATGGAACAAGATTATAAATGAAAACCAGCATGGGTTCATGGAAGGCAAATCCTGTGTCACAAACCTCCTGGAGTTTTATGACAAGGTAACAGAAGTAAGACACGAGAGAGAGGGGTGGGTTGA